CAGAACCGGGGATTGAATCAGGCCCTTGCGCTTGCCAGGGAAGCACTTAATCTATTGAGCCATTTCCCCAGCCCCCATAATTTTTGTATTAGCCAAGCAAAACAAGGCATACATATCAATTTAGAAAATCAGTTTAGGGCTGGGGAGATAGTTCAGTGGCATAAATGCCTGCCTGGGAAGCGCAAAGTCTGAAGTTTGATCCTTGGTACCTAACCAGAAAGAAAAAAAGAAAATCAGTTTAAAGCTGACAGATTAATGCTGCTCTATTTATTTAGAAAATACTAACACTAAAAAATTAATAAAGTTCTAACATGACAGGTTTGGGGCGGGGGAGATAGCTTGTCTGGTAACTCAAGGGCCTAAATTCAATCCCTGGTTCCGCAAAAACAAAAAAACAGATTCATGCTGGGTGTGGTGGTGCACACTTGTAATCCCTAAAGGGAGGAGGCTGAGGCAAGATTACAAGTTTGAGTCTCACCTGGTCAGCTACTAAGCAATTTAGCAAGGCCCTGTCTCAAAGAGGTGGCAGCGGGGTGAGGGGGGGAGAGCAAGAATGTACTGCAGAGAGAGAAAGAGAAAGACACAGACACAGACACAGACAGACAAATAGACAAGACACAGATATCCAGGGATAAACGACTAACGTGTAGAGCATTAGAATCAGTTTCCTTCATTCTCTGCTGCTGGAACAGTCAGAGAGTACCAGAGTGCCCATCCTAGGCTGATCAACCTTACTTCTTACCTCTGATCCACAGGTTTCCACTTTACACATGTACTTCTTGTTCACTGATGCTATGCCAAGACGTACATCCTCATGGCTTACAACAGCCTGGTTCTTCCAGTTTCTCTCTCTCTCTATCTTTTTGAGATAAGGTCTTACTATGTCACTCAGGCTGGCCTTGAGCTTGTGGTACCCTTGCTGTTTCTGCCTTCTGGGTGCTGGGGTTAGGCCTGTGCCACTGTGCCTGGCAAGCTGAAAGGACAAGCTCAGGGCTTACTTCCTGGGTTAGCCTGGTCTGAATGAGTCCATCTATATGGATCCTGGGTCCTTAAATCATCAGCATTTAGCTTTTTTTTTTTTTAAGATAGGGTTTCACTATGCAGTTCAGGCTCGCTTCAAATTTACAGTGATCCTGCTGCCTCAGCCTTCTGAGTTCTGGCATTATAGGTGCATCAGCTTTTTAATATGACTAGTTTTGTTGATTCATAAACTTTTTTTTTTCAAGTACTGGGGATCAAATCCAACCACTGAGATAGTCTTACTACTCTGTCTAGGCTTGTCTCAAACTAGCCAACTTGCCTCCAGGTAGCTAGGATTATAGGCACAAGCCACTGCATGGGATATACTTTTTTTTTTGTAGAAACGGGGATTGTAGAACTCAGGCCCTTATGCTTGCCAGGGAAGCACTTATTTCACTGAGCCATCTCCCTGGGCCCTCCCAGTTCTTTTTTGAGACAAAGCCTCACTAAATTTCTCAGTCTAACCTCAGATTTATAATCTTTTCGCTTCAGCCTCCTGAATAGCTGGGCTCACAGGTAAATAGTACTGTACCACACTCAGTCAAATTGGGTTGTTTGTTTTAGAGATGGAAACCAGGGCCTTGTGGATGCTGAGTGCTGTATACTGCGCCACATTTTAGCCCTCAACCTAGTTCGTCTTTTTTTTTTTGGTACTGGGAATCAAACACAGGACCTCATACTTGATGCTACATCCCCCGCACTCACTCAACCCAGTTTTATCTAAGGGGGAAAAAATCCACAGATTTCTCAGAGTATGATTTTTAAATTCTAAGTCTTGTGCACTGTAAACAAAGACCAATAAAAGGTAAAAGGGCAAGCAGATGGACACAACATGGTAGTGCTGGTAACTGAAAGAGTTATATTTTGCAATGTGTTTTTGTTTTATTTTGGCAGTGCTGAGGATTGAACCTAGAGCTTCATACAGGCTGGGTAGGTGCTCTGCTGCTGAGCTATATTTCCAGCAAATGCTGTGTAAAACACTTATATTTTTAATACTTTGGATAAAATTTTCAGGATCAGGTTTTGGGTTTTTTTGGTCTTTTTTTTTTGGAACCGGGGATTGAACTCAGACCTTTGTGCTTGCTAGGGAAGCACTTATTCCACTGAGCCATCTCCCCGGCCCCTTTTTTTGGTCTTTTTGAGACAGGGTCTCCTTAAGTATTTCAGGCTGGCCTTCAGCTTATTTTGCAGCCTAGGCCATTCTCAAACTTATAATGATCCTCCTGCCTCAGCCTCCTGAGTGCTGGGATTACAGGTGTATACCACCATGCCTGGCTGGGATCAAGTTGGGGTTTTTTTGGTGGAACCAGGAATTGAACTCAGGTCCTTGTACTTGCCAGTCAAGTGCTTCTATTGAGCTGTCTCCCCAGCCCCTGGCTGGAATCAACTTTTTTTTTTTTTTTGTAGAACTGGGGATTGAACTCAGGGATTGAACACAGGCCCTTGCACTTGCCAGGGAAGCATTTATTCTACTGAGCCATCTCCCTGGCCCCTGGAAACAACTTTAAGAAAATCTTTTTCTATTGTTTTTTGTACCAGAAATTGAACTGAGGACCTTGTGCTTGCCAGTCAGGTGCTGTGCTGCTGAGCTATCACCATGGTTCCAGGAACAGCTTTAAAAACAAACTTCAGGGCGTGGTGAATGCCATGTTCACTAATCCCTTGGTTGCAACAGGTTAAAAAAAAAAAATCCACTGGTAAGACATAAAATGAGAACAAGTTTGGGCTGGGGATATAGCTCAGTGGCATGAGCACCTGCTTGGCAAATGCAAGACTCTGAGTTCAATAACTGGTACTGGATAGACAGAGAGAAAAAAAAGAATGATTTTCACTAGCTGTGTTCCCTGCAAGTATACGTTTCACTGCAGCAGTGAAGAGAAGCAACACCATTGTATAACAAGAAACCTTCATGCAAAACAAAGCAGGGACTCACAGGGCAAGCTGTACTTACTTAAGAGAGCCTGACAGCTTGGGCTGCTGAAGAAGTTTATCCGCATGATTCAAAGCCATCAGGTTATCACCCAGGGCCAGGGCCACGTATGCGCTGCAAGCCAGTATAGAGCACCTAAAACATGAAGGGGCAGGGGCTGAAAACTTAAGAATGGACAGTGCCTTTATCTGCTGAATGGAAAAGAACGCCTTACTCACAGCAGTGACAAGCTGGGCACCGGGAAAGAAGAGTGGAATGGTAAAAAAACACGATAGATAAAACACCACCATGCTGGGTATGGTGGCACATGACGGTAATCCCAGCACTCAGGAGGCTGAGGAGGGAGGACTTCTCTGAATTCCAGGCCAGCCTGCACTGTATAGTGAGACTCACCAAACTAGATCACAGAAAACAAAACAAACCACTCTCTGCAGCAGTTTAGTCAATTAGGTAAGTTATCTTCAGTCTCTGTGTAAAACATGACCAAATGAATTTACTGAAGAATCCTGAATTTAGCTCATCATACAGCACTGTTCTCCTCTGAACCCATTAAGGTGTCTGCAGGGCTACTTTGGGGCTGGAGAGACACAATGCTGGAGTGCTTAGCTGGCATGGGCAAAGTCTTTTTTTTTTTTTTTTCTTTTTTGAGACAGAGTTTTACAATCCAGTTCAGGCTGGACTTGAGCTCTCCTTGTAGCCCAGGCTAGTCTTGAACTTGCAACAATCTTCCTGCCTCTGCCTCCTGGGAGTGCTGGGATTACAGGTATGGGTCACCATGCCCAGCTAAGGTGTTTTGATTCCTTGCAAAACACACACACACACACACACACACACACACACACACACACACACACACAAATACAGAGACAGACACCGACACAGACTTTAATCCACAGCAGGATAATAGCACATGCCTTTAATCTCAAGTCTGGGAAGCTGAGGCAGGAGAATTTCAAGCTCAAGCCTAGTCTATGCAAATTAGTGACTTAATGAGACCCTTTTTTTTTTGTATTCAGTACAGGGTCTAAAAGGTCTCACTATGCAGATAGGACTTGTAGTGATCCTCCTGTTTTCAGCCTCTCAATGGCTGGGATTACAGGTGTACCCCAACAGGCCCAGTCTCAATTGACATCTCAGTCCACCCTGGAGGCAGGGCTGGCAAGACACACTGGGGATTGAACCCTGGCTGCTGCACTCTGCCTAAGCAGGTGCTTTAATCTGCATCTGCTGACTTATCTGACTGGCCCTTGAGATCCTGTGTTTTAAAAAAAGCAGCTTAGTGTGAAGGCCGTGTTCAATCCCAGTAGCAGAGGGGGAAAAGCCAAAGTTACTGTTATTTCAAATGAATATTCAAGGGAAAAAAAACCAGGATGAAAAACTTATGTGAAGGGGCTGGGGAGATGGCTCAGTAGAATAAGCGCTTCCCTGGCAAGTACAAGGGCCTGAGTTCAATCCCTGGTTCCACAAAAAACAAAAAAACCCCAAACAAACAAACAAAGAAACCAGCTTATGTGAAGATAAACATCTAAGTTATATGGATCTTGCCAAGATGGGTGCACACCTAAGTTTGTTTAATTTTCTATTTTAACCTCAGTTCATTTAGAACAAGACTAAGGGCAGGTCAGATAGCTCAGAGGATTAAAGTGCCTGCTTACACAGATGCAGGTACCGGTTGATCCTGGGCATCCTGGGTGTGTTGTGCCAGCCCTGACCCCAGGGTGTGCTGAGATGGTGACTCAGACTAGGCATGACGGCACATGCCTGTAATCCCAGTGCTTGGGAGGCTGAAAATAGAAGGATCACTGAGTCTGATCTGTGTAGTGAGACCCTGTACACTCTGTACTAAATATGTAAATAAATAAGCAACTCAATAGATAGATAGAACAAGCCTAACTCTAGGAGTAGAGGTGCATGCCCGTAACCCCAGCCTAGAAGTGGCTGAAGTCCAAAAAATTTCCTTTAAAGGAAACAACAGGGGCTGAGGAGATGGCTCAGTAGAATAAGAGCTTGCCTGGCAAGTGCAAGGGCCTGAGTTCAATCCTGGGTTCCACCAAAAAAAAAAGAAAAAAAAAAAAAAGAAGGGAAACAACAGGTGCTCAACACCTAACAACAGGAAAGCACACCAGTCTTGGAGAAGGCACTGGGCAAGGCAGAGGTAAAGACTGTCCAATGTGGTCTGCTAATCAGTGTGAGGCCTGAAAGCCAAAGTGCTCAGGCAGGTTCTCTAGATCTGTGCTGTAGACTCCCAACCCACTGCTCTTCACACTCCATGACTCTGCTTTCATTAAGGCCAAGATGCCCTACAACAGTATAAAGATTATTATTTTTTTTTTGGAGGAACCGGGGATTGAACTCAGGCCCTTGTGCTTGCAAGGCAAGTGCTTATTCTACTGAGCCATCTCCCTGGCCCCAGTATAAAGCTTATATTATGACTTCTAAGCATATTTTCTTTCTTTTTAAATATTTATTTATTTATTTATTTATTTAGTGTGTGGCAGCTCAGCCCACCAGGGGGCGGGGCTGGCTGGCATGTGGTGCTGGGGGATTGAACCGTGGCCCCTGTGCTTTGCTTAGCTTAGTTTGTTCTAAGTAGGTGCTTTAGACCACTGAGCCATCTCACCAGCCCCTAAGCATATTTTCGAGACAGCGTCTCACTTGCCATGTAGTAAAGGATGGCCTTGAATTTACTATGTAGCCCAAGATGGTCTTAAACTTGAAGAGATCATTTTACCTCAGCCTCCCAAGAGCTGAGATTATAAGTGTGTGCCACTATGCTCAGTGAGGCATATATAACTTAGTACTCACTTTAGCTTTAATTCGCTGAGGTATCTGGCCGGCCCCACAGACAGCTTTTTTTGTATTTTCCTTAAATATAGTTTTTTTTTTTTTTTTTCTTTTTTGAGACAAGAGTTTCGCCTTATAGTTCAGGATGAATTTTTTTTTTTTTTTTGTACACCTGGGGGATTGAACTCAGGCCCCAAGCACTTACTCAACTGAGCTATCTCCCCAGCCCCTCAGGATGAATTTGAACTCACAACAATCTTCCTGTCTCAATCTCTTAGGTGCTGCATGACCTTATTTCTCCTTTTGGCTAATTTGCAGTTTTTATTTTTATTTTTGGCTGGCGCAGGCTGCCTTAAGGGCATGCCGGTCTGGGGATCGAACCGCGTGGTCCCCATTGCCTGACTGGGTTTGCCAGAGCAGGTACTTAATCAACTGAGCTAACCCACAAGCCTCCCTACAGTTTTTATTTTAAAATGGCAACACATATTTAAGACGTGCATATCACATAAGCCACTTAAAGGCCTAGACCATCATCAGCTCAGGGCCTGCATGAGGACAGTCACAATTTTCTTTTCTTTTTTTCCCCGTGGTACTGGGGACTGAATTCAGAACCTTGTGCTTCCTGCTGAGCTATCTCCCTGGCCTGACAGTCATAATGTTTGCTATTTATTTTCACCTGACATTCTGCTAAGGGGGTACAGCAAAAAATGAGTTCATTAAAAGGAGAGACACGGGGCTGGTGAGATGGCTCAGTGGTCTATGTCACCTACTTGGAACAAGCTGAGCAAAAGCACAGGGACCGCGGTTCAATCCCTGGCACCACATGCCAGCCAGCCCCGCCCCCTGGTGGGCTGGGCTGGCCACACACACACACACACAAAATAAATAAATAAATAAAAATT